CTCCAGAGACGAACTTTTCAGCTTGAACTTGTCGGCTTCTACACGCTTGTGAGCCATTTATCTAAGATAAATTTCTCTCTCTCTCTTTCTCTCTCTATAAATATATATATATATACTTTGCTGGTTTTTGTGTTTCTCTAGAGAACCCAATCCAACACAACAAGAAACAAAGTCTGGCCATTCTTGTTACTAAGGAGCATTCTGGTTATACTTCCTCCAAGATACATTTGTTTGTTCTTCTAGAAGTTCACGGTACATTCACTATTCTTCACTAAGACCTCAATTCAAATGCATCAATTCTTCTATGGTCTTATTCACTGTCCAGCTTTTATATGCATATGAGGCGACTGTAAATACCATGGCTTCAGTCTTCAAAGTGATATCTTTGCTCTTAAACATTTCAAAGAGGTCTTTTGCAGCAGATCTGTCCAATGCAATGTATCATTTGCTTTCTTGACTGATGTTAATCCCACGAGGACAGGAAATGAGGATTTTGTCACATTTTTGTGGTTGTAAAGAAAATAAATTACCCCCACTTGTAATTCTCTCAGTAAAATAATGTAACCTTCCCCTACTTATAGGACTCTAAGTGTATCAGTTTAAATTTATTAATTTCATGAATTGGTACCCTGTTAAAGGGAAAAGCATTACATTAAAATGTAATCACTTGAGACCACATCAAACACAAAAGCCTTAATCACATTTGAAAGTTTTCTTAACAAAGTTACTACAAATTCATATGAACAAGAAGATAATTAGTAGTAACTAAACAAGTGACATTTTGTTCGTTTCTATATGATCACCAAAGCGCTGAAAGGGAAAGGGAAGAAAAGATTTCAAGTCTACTGTTGAGATACAGTTCAGGCCTGTAGTTAATAAAGATGGTTTCATCTATCCTATTCTGCCAAAATGTACAAAACAGCCTGTTAGAATCTGAAGGACTGTTTGGATCCATGAAACAACAACAAAATTAATTCAATCTGCAGTGAATTAAAAAAAAAAAAACTCACTGCCATCGAGTAGAGCACTCAGTGACTCCTCCTTGGGTTTCCAAGGCAGTATCTCTATGGAAGTAGACTGCCCAATCCTCCTTCTGAGGAGCGGATAAATACCATATTTTGATGATTAAATGTGTAAATGAAATGAAGCACTGTAAACGCCATTTAAGGGAAAAACTTCTTTTAACTAATGAATTAAGAACTAGAATTTTTCTATTTTTCAGTGCAAAATGCTTTACTTCTCTTTCAAGTAATTGCCAAATCCTTTACTATTCTACTAGACAACAAAACTAGTATTTGGCAGCAAAAAGCCCAATTAAGAAAGTACTTTTGAAATCATAATTATGTACAAACACATCTCTGTTGATACAGCTGCTGCTGGATTCTTTGATGCTGCCCCCAGGGAACCACAAAGTCTTTAGCAGCACAGCGATGAGCAAGTGCTCCATCTTAAGAGAGAAAATGTACTCCTGACAAACATAAATAATTAAAAATAACATTATCTTCTGAACCAGGCTTTCAAACAGTTCAAGTATCACACCCACAGTATTATAAATGTGCTTGTAAAAATTATAGAAAGCTGAAAATACCAAAGCTGAATAAGTAACAGAAAGATCAAGCAGAGATTAGAATGAGAGAACTCTATGGATTTAGCACTCAAAGAAAAACTTTCTTCTCCTAACTCAAGTTTTCTTCTACTTTTTAAATGTGTGTGTGTATATAACATCTCTATTGAAATACAATTCACATACCATAAAATTCACCCATTTAAAGTGTACAGTTCAATGATTTTAGTATATCCAGAGTTATACAATCATCACCACGATCTAAGTTTAGAATACTTTCAACACTCCAAAAAGAAAGCCCATGCCCTTTAGCAATCATACTCCATTTCCTCCTATCCTGATCCCTTGGCAAACACTAATGTACTTTCTGTCTCCATAGATTTGCCCTTTCTGGAAATATCATATAAGTGGAATTTAAAAATATATGGTTTTGTGTCTGTTATATTTCACTCAGCATAATGTTTTTAAGGTTGATCCATGTTGCAGTATGAATCAGTACTTCACTCCTTTTCACTGCCAAACAATATTGCACTGTACATGTAAATTCCATTTTATTTACCCATTCATCGCTTAATGGATATTTGAGTTGTTTCCACTTTTTGACTATTATGACTGTCTCTTAATTTTGAACATAAATAGTAGCTCAACTGGTTAAATGTGTGATATGTATACATGTATTATTTGTTTATCTACTCTTTCTAAGAAGGTCTGGAAGAATTTAAAAATCAACTCTTCAATATATTTATGAATTTTTTATTAGAGTAAAGAAGATCTGAAAAATGGCCCACTCAACAGTCATTACATGCCACTCAAACTTACTGCCATCAATTCAACTTGACTCATAGTGACCCCCTCCTTGGGTTTCTGAGAGCTCTGGTAGCGTAGTGCCTAAGGCATTTGACTGCTAGCCAGAAGGCTGGTGATTCAAACCCACCAGCCACTCCTCAGAAGGAAGGCTGGGCAATCTACTTCCATAGTGATACTGCCTTGGAAATCCACAAAGGGGTCGCTATGAGTCAGATCCAACTTGACGGCAGTGGGTTTGGTTTTTTGTTGGTATCTCTACAGAAGCAGATTGCCCAATCTTCCTTCCAAGGAGTGGCTAGTGGGTGACTAGTCAAGTAATAATATGGAAATACAGTACCTATACAGTACAGTAAGGTAGGTACTGTATCTCCATATTATTACTTGACTTTTAATAATATTTCCATATTATTACTTATCTTTACAGGATAGGTACTGTATTTCCATATTACTTGACTAGTCGCCCACTAGCCACTCCTTGGAAGGAAGACTGGGCAATCTGCTTCCGTAGAGATACAAAAAAAAAAACAAACTCACTGCCGTCAAGTTGCATCTGACTCACAGAGACTCTGTGGATTTCCAAGGCAGTATCACTATGAAAGTGGATTGCCCAGCCTTCCTTCCGAGGAGTGGCTGGTGGGTTCGAATCACCAGCCTTCTGGTTAGCAG